ACTAGATATAGTTGATGTTCCCTAACCGGGGATGTACATGGCCACTGGAAAGTGTGGTTTACATGTTTCTTTCTATGCAGGCTGAACTACACTATAGGCTAGTGAGCATCCTATAGTGTGTATCTATATATTTATGGGCTATTTTAGATATTGCCGAGCTATCTAGGATGTATCTGCGTATCGGGTTTATGTATGGATTGTAGTAGAATGGAACTTGCATATGGGCCTGACCCACTCTTATTTTTCAGGTGTCCGTCAGTACCAGGCGTAGAGTTTGATCGTGATAAAACAGATACAGTCACTCACTCTTCCGACTACATAGGATTTCATTTCTTATTTTAGTTTTGAAATTTTTGTTTTGTAATTATTGTTCATTTGGGATTATTAGAGGTCCACTGGATGGATTCTCGAGTTGTACGGATTAGAAAATTAAATTAAATAAATAATATTTTGTCTTGGAGGATTTTCGTATTTAGAATTCTTTTCAACTTATTATTTTTATACTTAATTCTTTTTGTACTCTTACTTGTTTATATATTAATTGTTTGGTATCCCTCGGTTCTGTGCTCGGACTTGATCACTCGTGACTTTAGAATTGAGGGGTATCACAACTCCTATGTCTATTATTATTTTTTCGTATTACCTTTAGTAATAGAAGTTCTTTGATTTGTTTTTGGAATTTTTCTTGATCATCTAGGGTATGAGGATTATCTTGATTTTTTATAATTATGAAAGGATTGATCATATTCAATTTTGTTTCGATTTTATTTTTATACCAGTGTTTCTGGGAATCTTTTCCTAAAATCTCAGTGGTTTCAGCTAGTTTTAAAAGATTATCTATGTTTAATTTAGGATTTTTTAATATAACTTTATTATTAAGGAAAATCTTTGGTTCATCTAGATGACTAAGAAATATTAATGCTTTAGAGACATTTTCTAAAAATTTGGTTACATCAAATAAGTTTTCTGTAGTTTTCTCTGTCATAGATAAAGTATTGACATAAGTAATAGCTCATTTTTCTTTCTGAGGAATATAAAGAGGGTTGGATGGAATAAAGGTTCCTTTTGTAAAGAACTGTAAACCCGTAGGGGTATATATAAATCCTCCAGTGAGTGAATTTATAAAATTTAAACCTAAAATAAAATCATAAGTACTAGAAATATTATTAATTACATAAATCTATGGTAAAATAAACTTTTCGTTGTTAATTAATATAGGAATATTTTGAACACAATGAGTTATTGGGAATTTTTTATTATTATATTGACTCATATTAACATTATAATTTAACTTTATCAAGGATTTTTCAGGTACTAAATGCTTTTGAATTATACTTTTAGATGCTTCAATATCTAACATAGCTGAGGTTTGAACTATTTTTTCTTTAAATTCTAAAGTTACCGGGAATTTTGTTAGACTAGATGGTTTATATATTGAATTTATAGATTCAACTACAGTATCTTCTTGCTCATCTTCATATTTTGAGTAACAGTCTTGACATAATAGAGTTTTACAGTGGTCTGTACAGTAATGACCTTCTTTAATAGATATATTATACTGTTTACAATTGTAAGATGAAAAATGAAAATTAAGTAAAGTATATTGGCATGATGGATTGCTTATAGTGTAAACGAAATCTTCCATTGAATGAAGGCCTTGCTCAAAGTCTTCATCATTATCGAAATCGCTATCCATGCTTTCGATACTATATATACTTTCATTGTCATCTTCGGAATTATAAATACTTTCTAATTCATATAATTCTTCTATCTGTTCTTCAATATCTTCAAGTATATTGATATTTTCTTGTATCATTTTCATCGGATTTTGTTTGTATCTATAAGGACAATTTGGTCTTATATAACCTAGATCTTCACAAATAAAATATCTGCAATTTCTTTCTTTTATGGGTAATGTGTTTACTTTATTATCTTTGTTATCTTTATTTTCCTTTTTATTATTATCTTTATTTATTTTTTGCCTTTTATACCAAGGCCGCTTTCTGAATTGCCTAGGGTTATTTTTGAAATAAGGTTTTTTATTGCAGTAATTTTTGTAGGTCTTACTTTTATGTAGATTATATTTTTTTGGTTTATTACGCTTATAATTATAATTTTTCTGAGGCATACAAGTATACTGTGGTGGAAAGTCTATTTGCCCACAAGTATAATAAAATTATTTTTTGATTTGTTTAGATTCTTTACGTTGCCTACATTCTGCTTTTAACATATTATAAACATGATTTACTCTGTCTCATATGGTTAACCTATCTCTTCTGTAATTTTCTAACCATTTTTCCCATATCTTAGTTCCTACACTTCTTGGTAATTTCTAAAGATACCTATCAAGTAATGTTCAGTCTCCTGTTTTACTAGTGGCTGCGAAATACTCGAAAAACTTATTAGTATAATCTCTTATATATCTAAAATCACAAATCTGTAATAATTCTAAATTTCGTAAAACTTCATTTTGCTTTATTAGGGTTTCGTCTAATAATCTATCTTCGCCAACTAGCACCTTTTCTATTCGGCTGGTAAAACCTTGAATTGTATTATTACATAAGAGGGCATAATCATTGGGAAAGGTTACCTTGTAAGACTGCCACCAATCATGGATTGTTCCCTTTAATAAAGTTTCCCAATAAGTTAGGGCTGGTGTTTTATTATCAAAATTGGTTAGAATGGATTGCCTAATACAGTCCTGTTCCCAATTTTTAATTACTTTTGCCCAGTCTTGGGGATTGTGTCGTGATATGTCTAATATTGTTCCTGCTTGTTGTGATGGTATATTATCATAACGTCTACGATTTTGTGTCCATGTATATATATCTGGTATATTTCTATTTTCTACATAGGTTTCTTGTGTGGGATTTAACCGTTGTCCAGTGGTATAGTCATCGTTTATGGTATTAGTACTACCTGTGGCGTTAGTCATCGTTTGGTCAACTGACTGAGAAACGAATCTTTCTAGTTCTTTTCCTTCTCTATGTTCTACTACATTTAATTCTTCTTTTAATGTGTTTAACTCATATGTCGTATAAAAAAAAATTGTTTGCACCCAAGAACAATCAAACTTTAGACCTGAATCCTGATACTTCCAGAGGCACTAAGGCTAAGTGACTTACCCACTTGAACCAACCCTTCGGGTTCAAATTTCCTGAGAGTTGATAATGGCTATTCACATATGTAATATGGTCCATTTAGTACACATGAAATTTCTAAAGAGAGAGCAGAATGGAGGCAACACCTAACCGACCAACCATTTCTTTATAAATAAAATAAAAACCCTTTACAAGTGACACGGGATTTTATTAGGACGTTATCTTTTTGTATGAGATTTACTTTCCTAAAATATAATAACAAGCTTTTAAATACATTATCACAAACTGATATGAATATGGTGGAATGATAATAGACTTGTTCAACATTCCTAAATTGAGATTCACTGTACCAACTTTAAAATTGAAGATGAAACATAATTATCATTTTATATAAATGTGCAAGGGACGAATAATGAACCATTTAACGTACTACTTTCCAAAAAAGAACCATTTAAGGTACTAATTTAATTTGTATCCCTCCCTACCCTTATGTTCTTGTGTTACGAAAATTGTCACTGCTAATCATCCTAGTAATATTTCCCAAGGATGGCAATGTGCAGCATTAAACAAGTACCCCCACCGACGCCACCCTGTCCTATAATAACAGGATGTACGCTAGAGAGCGGTACAGGGTCAAGGATAAAACAAGAAAATTAGACCACATGGGTTATTATTCTTGCCCATTTTATGATTAATATATTATGACATCTAAAAATTTCAATATCACCAGAAAGGCCACAACTTCTACTGCCAAGTTATTATGGAAACTGCTACTATAGTACATGGACCATGGTCCACATAGGGAGCCTATCCATCATAAATTAATTTCCCTGTGGTACTGTTGATGGTTGTAAAAACTAATTATCGTGAAAAAGGCAGCACATACTGTAACACATCATGGTTGTAAAATCAGATGAAAATGGTTTATATTTTTACCAACCTCAATCCCATATCCCTTCTCTTCTCCCCAAGCACTCCTAGGGGCATTTCATTCCTCACACGCCTCATCATGTTTTGTCTTAGATTGAAGATGAGCCACAGAGGTCATCTAATCCCAAATTCGCCCCGTTGCCATCCCAATGCTGCCTTTTGAAATGAATTTATCATAACTGAGTGAGATAGATAGCATTTAGGAATTGCACAGTGGATCAGTTGTAGTTTGTTATAGCTGAATCATCATCATATATTGAGCAAAGGTCAGTATATCGCATGCGGAATTTTCCTCAAATTGTAATTTTTTGTAAAAACTATTCTTTCCTTTTCTCAATTTCTTAAGCATTTCACTAAAAGCTCTATTTTTAAAATGACTCCTCTCCAAATATTTAAAACCTATAGCATATTGCAACACACAAATATAGGAATATGATGCACGACCCAGAATTAGACAATATAAGTGACACGCACTTCAAGCATAGGCTTTTAGAATCAATATGGGTAGTTTAAAGAGTCTTACCAAGGTGATTCTCCTCTTATGAGTTATTGGTTACCCTTCTTAAAGTACATCTACCTACATTTTCTTAATTCTTGTAATATCTCTGGGTTTAATTCTAGTGTAGACAATTCTGTTTAATACAAATATCTGTCACTCCAAAAATCAGATTCTCAAGGCCGGTCAATAAATACCGAGAAGTCACTGAAAATTAAACAGCAGAACCAGTGAACAGTTGCTGAGGCAGTCCTTCCCAGGTATCAAGATCACGGATAAACCATACTGAGCCGCTTATACTAAGACTTGTACATCAAGAACAAAAATAGACCCACGCGCGGCAAAACAATATTCAAATATAGCAACATATAAAAAGATTCTAGGAACAATAAAAATCGATGTGAACCCATCTCAATGAAAATATAGTTATCGCATGCATCCTAAAATATTAAATTATGTATTTGACAACATACCTTTGAAATGATGTCACGATCACGTAATTTTGAAGCTGATAGAGATAACTGCATTTCAATTGAAACACATTATTGCATCATGTAGAATGAATTCAAATAGACATTGTGTGAAGACCATGAAAATAAAATAGGTAAGCTTAGAACAAGGAAACTATACTTAGATAAAATTTATGATTTATTATTCTCCTTCCCTCCACAACAATAAATAAATAAGAACCCCACTATACTGCAATTTGGTCCACTGGCATTTCCTATAGCATCACATGTCTTGGTGAATTGACCTTAGATATAATGACTGGTAGTGAAATAAGTTAACCCCCTGAACCTGCTAGTGGGGTGTTAACACCTTCCCCGGTGCCTTAGAAAGCCCAATGCAATCAGAGGATTTTTCTCCCAAATAAAAAACCCTATAATAGTGTGGTAATATCAATTGATAGACCTTGACAAAGATCAAATTCAGTCACACCGTCAACTGACAATGTCATTGAGTTTAAAAATCAAACATTTTACATCCACCAAATTCACTATCTCTTGCACTTCTATAGTTCCATGGGGCGTTCAATGACTAAAAATGTTTCCTGTTTTTTGTTGTCAACCCTTAAAAAGAAAAACAAAAAGCGAAATCATGTTCTAGTAATACGTTTTTGCTTTTCTAAAGTTGAAAATGTTTTTCATTTTGTGAAGAAAAGGAAAGTATTATTTTCATACTTCCTGTTTCACAAGTGTTTTTGTTGCATGTTTCATGTTGTGGGTGGCGTAATACATCACAACACATTTGGTAACCGGTTGCCATTTGAATAGTACCCAATTTGTTGCTGAAAAGAGGCCCATATAGGAATCGGTGTTTCCTAATGTTTTCGCATGGTGGCATTGCAGTGAACGGTACCACATAAAAAATAAAAAAATTGTAGCATGCCCCCTTTAACTAGCCATTTTGTTTCTCAATTATGCAACACTTTGACGTTACCAAACATGTTCTCATATTTTCACTTCAAAAAATCTTGCAAAAAATTTTACTAAACGCACCCCAAATGTGCATGCTTCCAATCACAAATGAACACATACCATAACAAAAACATTGTTTCTGTTTCGGACGAAAACAAAAACGCATAACAACAATGGTTACCAAACGAGCCCTTAATTTTTTATTTTCTTTATGTAAATCCAAGAAATTCTCCCATTCTAATGACAAAAGGAAGCAAAAATGATGCAAAGCACGTTCAACAACAATAATTCAACAAAACATTGACCACATGGGATGAAATTGACCCATCATTGACAGCAGAGAACTAGGGTTTTTTGGGATGATATAAAGGTAAACACAAGTACTACATTAGGAGTGTTTGTATAATATATATGTGCATATACCTCGATTTGTGTAAAGAGAGCTTGAGGACCCTTTGTTCTAAAGAATTTGTCAACAGCGTCGTTGTGGGCTGCTCCACCACCAACATCGTTCATCTTCAGTACGGCCCCTCCGCCCACTGCTTGTTGCCCTCCTCTTAGGTACGAAAAGCACATTCCCATCTATCACTCTCTCCTCCCTCTTTCTCTCTCTACAATATCTGAAATGTATAATATATATACTCTTTCCTCTGTAAAACTCCAAATTTCGTTTACCAGTAATTCCAAAACTCATCTTTCTCCTCTGGGTTTCTCCAATTTAAGGAGATGGTCGCAATTACTTGGAACTGAAGAGGCGTGTTTGTGTGAATGAATTAATCTCTACTTTTGCCAAAACAATTAATTACGGAGTATATTTATTAATATCTGAGTGATGAAGGAGGAATCATTCTTGACTTTGCTCTCAGGTACTGTATGAAGCAAGAGCAAACATTCTTTACTTTGCTTGCTCTCATCAATCTTATAAAAATATTGTTTCTTCCTCCATATCTGTATGTATCATTTGCAGCTGGTGATGTCTTGGGATTATAGGTTTAGGTTAAGTGGCATGGACCCACGGGCGAGTATATAAAAAAAATTTAAAAATAGAATACACACTATGACACTATTATATACGAGTATAAATATTAATTTTATATATATATATATTATGTAATAGTATTATAAAATTTCTATTTATTTATAATTTTTATACTAAGTTTCGTTCTAAAATGATTTAAAAGATATTTGGTAGAGCTCCGGTCTTGCAATTAGGTTGTAGGGGTTACAGATTGGATGTCTAATTGTTCACACTGTAATGATAGAATCTTGTGTCTGAATGGATAACTCACTTTTTCTAAGTAATGAAAAAAATGATTAAAACATGCCAAACTCTGCTTATTTCATTATGGTAAAGATTTTTATATTATATTATATATAAAGATATTCTACTAGTTTGTGTGGAGTTTTAATTTTAAATGAATATGTATATTTGTCTTCGTATAATTTAAAATGCGTTCATATTATTTGCAATATTACTGAGTAAACTTATATTAGAAATGTTAGAAAGTGTCAACTAAGTGTGTAAAATAATAAAATTAAAATTTTATTTGTAGACTGTAATGTTTTCAATTTTTACCAATTTTTCATTTTCTGAAATTTTCTGTTTTTGCGAGGACATTTTCTTATTTTCTCGTTTTGCGTGTTAGACACCGTGGGGTATGCCGGTTATGCCCAAGAGTTGGTTGGGGCATTTCTTTGAGTTCAAAACTCTTAAAAATGCAATGGTGGTCATTTTTGCATTTTTTTTCGTTTTTCAGGTCGGACGGTCCCCTGTGGGACCCGCTACAGGAATTGTTGAATACGGAAATTTTAATTGAATCCATTTGCATCTCATGCATTTTACTTAATGTGTCTTATGTGGGTTTTATATATTTTGTGTATATATATTTATGTGGTGCAAAAGAAAAATCAAAAATAGAAATTTAAAATTTTGTGATAGGACCCACTTTCCACTAAATGAATTAGTGGCCAAGAGGCCATTTGGCCTCACTCCCTTTCTCTCTCCCCGTAATATCTCTCTCTCCCTCACATTTCTTCATTTTTTTCTTTTTCTTTTCAATCAAAACTTCAATCTCAAATTTCTTCCTCATGTCTTGGAATTTTTGGATGTCATTTGCGGCAAATCGAAGAGTCTGGTGAGATCTACACGTTGATATAAGCAATTCCTTATTTGGTGCACTCTAGAGATTTCAAATTTTTGGACCCATTTGGGGGTTTTTGCATCTAATTAAGTGAGGTAGAGGTGTTTAATTTACAATCTCTTGAATTTTTGTGAATTATTTCCCTTAATTTGTGGTTTAGCATGCTAATTGTATTGAATTTCCTCTAAAATGATGAAATTGTTACAAATAAAGTTTGTGACTATGTGCTTTAGTTGATTTTATATGGACTAGTATGCTTGTATGAAGTAGAATTCATGCCTTATATGCTTGCTTTGCCAAATTATTGTTGAATGTAAGTATGTTTTATTTACTTTAAAGTTCTTGTAAAGCATGCTATGTGTTTTAAGCTTGAAGTAGTTGTATAATGATGAGCATTGACATGGTTCATTTATGTATGAGATTGTGAAGCATGAGGCATCCATGCATGAACATTGGGAAAGAAATGTGAAGTTGTTTTGAAAGAAATAGAATATGGGGTTTTTGATCAAATAAGTTTTGGAAAGGCTTTTGTGAAAAACCGGACGCCGAGGAAATACCGAGGGTCCGTGGCGTTAGTGTAACCTATAGAGAACTAGGGAAATCACCCTAGCGTGGTTAAGCTATCTGGCCCCAAATGACGCCGCGGGGTTACCAAGGGTCAGGAATAGTAGTCAATCCTTCTCTCGTGTCGCCGAGGAGTCACCGAGGGACGGGTTATGTTAACGGTTTGAAAAGTGATAGATTGGATTTTGAAAAAAAAAAATGGGGAGCGACATATATGGTTTTACATCTTATGGCATGAATTTATTTCATTATGACTTGAACTTGTACTGTATTTTTTCCTGACATAGTATGATCCCGTTGCCTTTGTTTCTATTCATTGTTTGGACTCACGGAGTTTCAAGAGGTGTGCCTTAGGCACTTCCTACTGAGCTTTTGTTCACCCCTTTATTAACATTTTTCAGGACACGGCAAAGAAGTGGTAGATGACAATCCACCACAAGTATGATAGGACTAGAAGGGATGTTTTGCAACCTTTAGTGTTTTAGAGTCATTCTTTTGTAGAGCATCAATGACAAAATGTATTAAACTTGTTTGGCATGGCCTTGTAGTGTAACTTTGAGCTTGACTCTATTATGATGTAAATTGGACAATTGTAAAGATCATATATATTTAGATGTGAATGGGGTTAATAAAGTTATAATTGTAAATAATTAATGATGTTTTTCATCCATGAAAGTAGTATGATGCATTTCAAAGTATTTTGGGACATGTTAGATAAGTTTTGAAGGTTCAAAGGCCATTACATTTTTATGCATTTAAGCAGGTTGTTGTAGATTCCTTTTTAGCAGGGGTCATGCCAAAATTATTATTATTTTTTTATAATTGACCTCGAGTTCGGGTAAGGACCAGGTCCCAAAATTATTATTATTTTTTTATATTTAACCTCGGGTTCGGGTAAGGACCCGGTTAACAGTTTGGACTCACGGGTTCAGGTCGTTACAAATTTGGTATCAGAGTAATGGTTCGAAAACCATTAGGACGACGGGTAGAGGCCTACCTAGGGTTGTGTGGGAAGTCATTTGCATTATTTATGTGACTATTTGCTAAAGCGTTTTGTTATTTGAAAAGAATGTTTAACTGTGTACTTGTTTACATGTTTATGTGCTTACGGTTTTGAAAGACATTCTTCCTTGCTATGTGTTTGCAAATTTATATGTTTATATGCTAAAGTTTTTGTTATATGGCCATGTACGAGGAATAGTTAGATGATCTAACCGTGTAAATGAAATGTGAAAGAAAAGAAAAGCATATTAATTGTGCATGAGGAGTATGGTGACGAGAAGTGGTAGGCATAGTGTGTGCAGTTTTAATTTAAATGCTAATATGACAAGTAATGAGCATGGTATATGCAAACATGTTTCGTAAAGTATTGTGGGCTTCATTTATTTTATATACGTATATGTCTATATCCTTATATAGTTATACTGTTAAACATTGGGATGGTTGCCACTACGTTGGGGTACTTGTCGCGGCATTGAGAGTTATATAAGTTTTGACTTGAGAACGCGAGGAGCTCGGTTGCTCCAGGGTTGTTTGGGTGCCAGTTATTGTCGAACTAATGGCTTGGGCTTCTAGCTCATGGATTGAGCTGTTTAGCGTGTAGTCATCCTGATCTTCTTAGTTGCATTTTATGCAGTGCTTAGAACACGACTTTAGAACGGGTTCATATTTCATGGCAAGGTGCCCTTGTTATGTGTGAGTTTCATGTATTGGTGTATGGGTTCTGCTGATTATAGAGGTCAAGTGTATGAGTGAGGGTTTCGGTATGACCTTAGGAGGTCAGTGTTTATGACTTAGGTCACGATTTGGTGTGGAGGTTCTTTTCAAACCGGTCGTAGTAGGTGTGACGGGGGTTGTTTGAGTCACGAATGTAGTCTTTGGATTATAAATGTGTATTTTAAGCATTTTGGAACGGCTTAAGAAAGTGTGTTGGTTTTGATTGTCATGGAAACTTGTTGGATTCTATAGGTCTATGGTGATTTAGGACTGGTTGCTGGATGTAGATCATTTTATGGTCTTGTAGGAGTTTGTTTTAAAGACTGGATTGTCGAGGAGTGATTCTCATTTCAAAGAGTTACAGGAGTGTGCTATGGGTAATCTACTCTCAGTGAGTCGGTTGCATGGCTCGGTCAATGAGCGGGGTTCTGGATTGGCACGGCTATCTAGAGAGTCTTGAGGTGCTGTATAGTGGTTAGTTTTAGCTGTGTAGTGTAGGATTGCACAATAAGGCAGGTAGTATGGGGTCATTAGAGTGTTTGGTTGTTTGCGGATGAAGTGATAGCTAGTGAATATTGTGTTTTCAAATTAATTGTGTTTTAGAATTTGAAAGCTGTGGATTAGGGTTGTATTTCAGATTGCATCTGGAGTATCAGGAGATAGTGCTTGTTGTTTGAGAATTCGAAGAGATAAACTAATGATTGGAGTGATTAGGACCAGGTTGATCTCGTAGGTTAGTTGGCAGCCCCATTTGATTTTTGGTTGGGCTAAAGATGTTTTAAGGAACGGAAATGAGGAAAAGTAACGATGTTGAACTTTGGGTATGAAGTTTTCTTGTTTGGATGCATAGATAGCTTAAAAAGAGTGGTTTGATGTTGTTGGTTAAGCGTTAATGATTGATGGCATCGTTGATGGTATTAAGGTGACTATCGGGTGTTGAGCATTTTGAGATTTGCGCTCATTTTGTTTTGAGGGTTTGTGTGCATAACATTACCGTATGGAGGTTCTTTTCTAATGGTAAATAGTGGTCGTTATGGGAAGTATCGAAAGTAATGCTTATTTTCTTGTTACGATGGTGTTATCCTAAGAATGTTTGAGGAAACTAGAACCACTTGGTAGTTACTTGATGGTCTGGTGAGATGAGAGGTACGAGTTATCTTTCAGGAAGAATGGTAATAGAGGTGTTATAGTGAGATGTTTAGTGTTGATGAGCAGGACGGTTTAAGGTATGACCTGAATGTGGTTTGGGGATTAT